AAAAAAAAAGAAAGAAAAGAAAAAAAGAAAAGAAAAAAAAAAAAGCCCCACAACTTATTTTGCCTAACTGGGGCACTTGGCACACAAACTTTAATTTGGCATCAGATATGCAGGGCAGTTGCACTTAAGTTCTGCGCTGTCCTTCAGCTGCTGATAGACAGCCTGCAGTGTGCTGGGATGTTTCACCCTGCCCTTAGAGATTAGACGCTTTCTTCAGATGCAGCAAGGTAAGTCTGTCTCTTCTCAACCCTTTCTGCCCTCTAATTGGGAACACTGTAAATAATTTCCCTTTCAATTTGTTATGCCAGTTAGTCTGACTTTTATGACAGAACCCACCTGTTACTTAAATGACAGTTAGTGTAGTTCTTCCCCAAAGCCCAGGTACAAACGGCATGCAGAAAGAGACAAAAAAGGGTAAGCTACCTCCTTGGACTCCCAGGTATGAGGAAGAAGGTGCTTTTTTGCAGAGCCGACAAAACAGAAGGAACAAATGGAATGAATTACAAATTTTGAACATTGTCACTGGGGTTAATCTACTTCTGGAAGAGCTCTGCTTTGTCCTGTCACCACCTCTTCTGCACTGAACTGGGAATAACATGGTGGCAGAGAAGAGGAGCAGAGAAGAGGTATAAAGATATTTTGGCACACGTTACAGGAGGCATGGCAGGACTTGAGGGGGTGTTTAATCTGTCCTTCAAAAAAATGTGTGTGATTATACAGGTGCAAGGGCAAGGACATGTAGTTTGGATTAAGACTCTTAAGCTGAGAGTATGAGAACAGTTTGTTTTCAAGTATTTTCTTTTACTGCACGTTAAAAGGCAATTTGCTATGCTACCTCATTGGATGTAGAGTAATTAAACTTGCAGTACTTTTTTGAAGGAAAAGGAAGTTTAGCTCTCTTCCTTATTCCCTTGACAACCTATCGTCTTTATCAATGTTCAACATTTCCCTTTCAGAAGCTGTGGTGGAATACCTTATCAAGCTGTACCTTGTGGTCATGGGAGATAAAATGTTGCAGCTCTAGAAAATGTCTGAAGTGCTCTGTTGTTGCCCTCCAAACCGTTGGTACAGAGCACTGAACCAGCATGTGCTGAAGGTTTTAACTAAGTTAACATTTATAAAGCCACATATTTACATAATAAGTGTTCAAGAGATCAGTTCTGTGTTTTTTCTTCAGATAACAGATGCAGTTATTAACTAAAAATAAATGTTTAACAGAATGTGATGCGTGCCTTTGGATTTAAAATTTCTTGGTTTTGTGTAGTTTTCTTGCCATTTGAATACCCTTGTCCTGTGCCTTCCTTCCCCCCAAATATTTAATGCTTATTTGCTTATGGGTAGAAGAGATGTATTGATGAGTTTATTACTTGTGGCAAACAATCTTGTTTTGGTCATTGCTGCTAATAGAGCATACAAGGAAAAATGTGGATTTTTTAAAATTCCCTTATAGTGTGATTGCCTGTACCTTGTTTTTTAGGTACATTTGTCCGTTTTGTTGTGAGGCTGAAGGAGGCAGCCCTATTATAATCATCTTACAGGCCGTGAGCCAGAGAGCTGTTGATCTGGGTGGAAGGACAGAATTATCAGTGGTTCAGTTTGGAGATGGTGTTGTTCTTTTAAGGGCACAAATAATTATTGCTATTATGAAATTTGGTAAGAGTTGTAAAGCCATTTACCTACTCTGGTTCATGTGTTGGGAGATGAATTGGCTCATTTTGCTCACAGAGTTTGTAATTTGAGTACTACACATGACTTTAAAAACTGAGCAGTAGATGGCACAATGCAGATGGCTTCACTTTCTTATATGGTGTTGTTCCTTGGTGGATTTACTTTTTTCAGCAGAAGCTGTTGTGTCTGCATAAATGATAAATTGGCACACAAACACTTTGACATGTTGGTCTTGACCCTTCTTGTTTCAGTTGCTTAACTGTTTAGGACTGACAAGTTGAAGAGTTTCCCGAAACATTCCTGGGGGTTAATGATTTTTAGAGGATTGCTTTTTGGTGATAAGTTTGTGAATTACCGTATTTAAGAAAACGAACAAATAAAATCTATCCTTGCCTCATTCTATTGAAAAACAGCTTCCATCATATATCTGTGTGGCTGAAGGAAGGAAAGAAGCTGTACAAACTCCCTTTGTGGAAAGGTGACAATGATTTCTATGATGCATCTGATAAACCTGGAGAGTGCGTTTTTGGTCATCAGTGCACAGTTGAGCTGTATTGTTATTTACTGAATTTTTTTCTTTAGTATGGTGTTAGTGAAGGTTGTACGTGGTGTCACATAAACCATGTAGCCATGAATTATTTCTTCGGAAGGAAAACGTGCTATGCTAAGCATGCATCCTCAAATATGTTAAGATCTTGTGTCCACTGATGGGCAGTTGGTTAGTTTATTTGGGCCTTTTCTGTTGTGGATTTTTTTTAATTCCCTTATAGACACACTCAATAAGAAGGGGGGGGAGGGAAAGAAGGAAAATGAGCTATGGTGGACTTCTTTCTCTCTTCATAATTTGCTGAAGGGTAATTGGAAGTACATGGTTGTCATCTAATTTCTCTAATACACTATTACATTGAGCAGTGCTTATTTCTATATTCACAGCATGCACTGATGCTAAATACCCAGCATTCATTATGTATATAAATCATGTATGTGAAAAGTGCACAAATTGCAGGACTCTGATCCACAAAGGTATTTAATGCCTGTGCCCCACGGAGGTCAGTGGGAGATAGGCAGTGTAACTGCTGGATGTGAGCTGCAGCACACAACATGGCACAGCTGCCCACCTCTGGAGCAAGGCTTGCATTCCCCAAAATGTAACCATGTGGTTGTGGAGTGTGCATTACTGTGTGTTGGTTGGCACGTTTTCTGGAATTGAACTTTAATTATAAAAAGAAAGAAGCAGCAAGAGGACAAGGAAGACTTCAAACTTTAAGCTGGGGAAACAATATAGAAAGTGGGTCTGATCAGACTTCAGTGCTGCTGGGGAGCACTATCATACAAATTGTATCTGAGGTCAAGAAGCATTTTTACGTGAGAGTTAGAAGTACTCTACAGAGCAGTGGCAGTTTTCTCCTGGTGTCCAGGCTGCTCCTGCAGACTGTTTGGAAGATGACATCTGGTTCTGCCTCAGAAACAGAGAACTGAGGTCTTGTCAGATGGCACGATTTTCTTTCTATTCACTGAGTGTTTTTGTTGTTTAATTCTTAAGAGCACACAGTGCCTCATTACTGTTCTCTAAAACAGTCTGATTTGCTTATTCTCAGGCTTATATTCTTTTAAATCGATAAGCTGTTTGCTGAGTTCTCAGGGTCTGAAAGCATCCTTGCTCTTTGTCTCAGCTTCGTTAGTAAGCACGGAGGAAGTGTTGTGGTGCAGCCTTATGGAATAGCTGACTGTGTTGGTGAAGGAGGGCTGATGGATGTGTGCTGGCACTGCAGTTAGTGAACCTTTGTGCTTTTCTAGCCCACGTAGACGTTGCAAGTGCTTGCCCTTGTAGTTTGGCCCATGAAAAACAACAGAGTTGCTTGTGAGATCAGTGGATGGAAGCTTGGTGAGACATGCTTCTTGTAACACCAGAGCATGCAGTTTCTATATGCAGGCTGTCATGTAGCTGTAGTAACCCATCTGGTGCCTGTCCCTATAGCTTGGCCAGCTGTCATCAAAATGACAGCTAAATGGAGGCCTACCAGTAACATCTCATTGGAGTGAAAACTTACAGCTCAAGAGTATAAATAATCACTGAGTGTATTTTGATCCGGAACAGATGCACTCTGTTCTCATGTTTGGCTTGAAAATACTTTTCTAAAAAGTGTAATCCTGGTGAAATCAAAATAGTGGCTAATAGGTCATAACCCAAGGTTAACACAACCTAATAAATGTTATTTACAGTTTTATTATGTTCTTCACTCTGTGCATCTTTTCTTCCTGATTTGTTTCATTGGTCATAAGAGTGTGCTATAATTTGTCTGGATCATGCTTCCCAGATGACTGAGCCATTACTACAAACAAATTCTCTCCTAGATAAACTAATGAGTAGTCTGTGGCAGTGTCCTCACATGGTACATGCCTGGCTGGGTACAGCAGGATAGCATGAAGATCATCATTTAACAGGTAATTGTTTCCCAACTACTGTAGGTTCCCTGTATAAAATGAACTGGGAAACAAAGGCTTCGGTTTTCCTCTGACTGAGAGATCAGCAGAATTTTCGGATAGAAATTATAACTTTTGTATTGTATGTTTAACTGTAGGTCAAGGATTTTTGTTGTTGTTGTATATACTGCAAAATTCAACAAATGCCAGTTTTCTTACAATGAAGTTTTAAATTGAGAGGAAAAAAGCAAAGCTCTTATTGAGACCAGCATTTCCTGAAATGAAATAGACTTCTGGCTGCTATTTGAATGCCTTTCAAAATGGAGTAACACAGTGCAACACATGGTGATTAGACAGCAGCCAGAAATAAAGCCACAACAGAATCACTCAGTTTATTTGCTGGGGCAGCAGGGCAGAGTTTTGTTGATGGATCAAACATGTAAAAACAAATACACTGCCTAACCCACTCTTTTATAAAACGATCCCATGTTTTTTGCCAGCCTTCCAATTTCATTATGCAACTTGTGCAATGGATTGTAACTTGTATACATACTCATTTTGTGTGCTTATTGACTTAATCATTTTGTAATGCTGCTGATGAAAGAGTAAAGAAATAGCAAGTAAATGACTATTAAACTGAAAGAGGAATTCAGAATTTGAATGGAGGGGACTGTAACACTCATACACCAGCCAACTATGCTCTGGAAAAGTGTTGACATTATTATATTATATATAATATAATTATAATTATATTATATATATTATAATATAATAATTATATGTATAATTATTATAATATGTATTATTATAATAATATAATTATTATAGTGGAAATGTTGAGATTAACATAATATAATTATGATCTAAAGGGGAAATGGGAAGAATGGAAGCCATCAAACTAAAATGACAAAGCAATGAAAACATCTAAGATTAATTGTTTTTGACGATGATGTTCCGGTAAGCAGTCTGGGACTCCAAGAGATTTAGGATGAAGTTTGAAGAAGTTTTTGGCTTTTGCTTAGCAGCCAGGTTAGTGCTTATAAATATGGGCATCATTAGATTTGTAAAGCAAAGCTCACTCCCATTGGCTTACAATGTTAGACTTTGCTTTGTCTTTTTCTTTAGGCTAGAGCAGAAATAGGGGATAGAATACAAGACAGATTTGGCCACGAGTGCTAGAGAATAACACTGAAAACTAAAATACCATACAAAGAAAAATAAGTAGTGATGTCAGGTTTAAGACTGTTTGCATACTGCAAGCCATGCAAATGAGACACTGCATTTGAGATGTTTTTTTTTTTTTTACTGAATTTTTTAAGATGTTGAAGGGCAATTTGGCCCCTGGAAACCATGTACTATATATTAAACTCAATTAATGTATAGCTGCTTTCCAAAAATCAATTAAACAATTTACCAAAAACACAGCTGCTTCTGAAGCATGTGAGAGAGTGCCAAACGGCATTCTGCAAAGGCGTCTGCAGCACTGAGGAAGAATTTCCTCCTCTGTTGTATCAGAAATGGATACTTCATGATGCATGTGTGCCTTGTTGTCTGCTGAGCCAGCAGCAGGACATCATTCCTGATGCTGCACCCTGAGCTAGAGGGGGCTGCTCTGAGGCTTCTGTGCACAATCGGTGCTATGAGTGGCATGGAGGTGGAGACGGATTGATTTTGCAGAGCAAGAGAAAGCTATTGTCAAAGAAAAGCAGTTACCTGCAATTTATGTACCTTCTTTTCCTTCTCTTTGCTATCTGTGATTGGTTATCTTTCTTCACTCACAGTGGTCTTGCTCTAGTGCTGACATTAGGAGTTTGCAGCTTTGGGGATTGGCCTGCACGTGCATGACCATGAACATCCTAAAACATCTGTTCTTTACTGCAGTTACATTCTTGCTCATTTTATACACCTCAGGCTTGAAGAAAGCTGTTTTTTTCACTCCTGGAGAATATGTGAGGTGTATCTTGTTCCTAACAGTTTGGAAAGCTTGCTTACCATAGCATTTATCTCATGGGAAAACCATTGGAGCAAAACCAGATCTTACAATTGTAGCCTTTGTTGTTATCATTCCTAGAAGGTGCCAGTTCAGGTGAAGTACATAAATTGTTTGCTTCTCAGGGGAGTTACTTCTGTTCTGGTAGGGGCATTGCGGTGGGCCTCGTCCTGAATTGCACTTGCAGAGGAAGGCTGTCATTGCAGCCAGTCACTGTTTGTCCCACTCCTTGTTAGAAGAATCACAACATTCATGGAAACTTTCTTAAGAATGCTAGACAGCGCAGCCAAGTAGTTTTTCAATTGATTTGATTTATAAGAGTAGATTCTGACAATTTGGCATTAATTAGGAGTGCCTGCTGGAATACAGTGGGAGCTACGGTCTGAAATATGAGATGTATGTTAGGAGAAGACAGAGGCTAAACACTTCTAGCGAATGAAATACCAGAACTTCACTTCCTGTCCTGGCAAAACATTCCAGAGCTTTCTTTCTTGAGTAAGAAGATGAAATTTGCTTACAAATATTTATGTTTCAGGGACTGAGCTTATTTCATGTCTCTGTTGAGGCAGAAGAATGTCCTGAGAAACATGGCCAGCATTTTTTAGCTGGCTTATTTATATAGACAAGGAGTGGAAATTCTCTCACAGCATTTGTTCTGTAAAGCTTTATCTTTCAATTCTTTTCAAGTTTTTTTTTTTTTTTTTCCAGGTAAGCCAGCCTTCTGGGTCTTAAAAAGAGGCTGCTGACCAAGATATCAGGTAGCCAAAGATTACTTAGAGCCAGGAAGAGCAAACAGACATCATGAAGCTGACGCAGGCAGCATCCACGCTGTTTTGATCTCATGTCAGGCACACCAGTAGTGGTAGTGGCACAGGTATGAAAGACACAGAAAGGACCAAGTGCATAGTTTGTACCTGCACTGCCTGGAGGAAGGTCTTGGCGAAGGCTGTGGGACAGCAGGCAGCTCCACAGGGTGGTTGGGGCCTTGACCTTGAGGATTCATGAATCACAGGTTGCTGTCTTATGGCTTTGTTTGGGAGTTGCTTGTTCCATCACATTTCCAAATCCTAAATCCAGACATCTAAAATTGAAATTGAGCCTCTCTGCCTTCCAGCATAAATAGCATATGACATTCTCTTTTCCCTGTTATTAAGTACTTCTTTTCTCTGTTCGTTCACTTCTCAAATTAAATTCTGTTTTCATATTTCCAGTTGTAAGGCACAGAAAATTGTGGCCGAGCATTCAAATCTCATTGTGTGTTCATAAAATGTCGTGGTGGTGGGATAGTTTTATCTGCTTTCTGTGCGTTCACTGAAGCAAAGGACTTAGGTGTCGTGATTGCAAGTCAATTACAGAACAAAAACAATTAGCTAAGTAGCTTACCTTAATAGAGAATTGCCAGTATGGAAGATCTGGAATACAGAAGACAAATCGTTAATTAGTGACTTGAGAAATCATATGAAAAAATCAAATGATTTATAAATCATGCTTGAATAAAATCATTTTCTCTTAGGGATGATGAAGGAAAGATGTTCAGCTGTTGTTCCCACTGCTTAAGTGGTAGGAATGTTTCCAGTTCCTCTTAGTCTTGCTTTATTATTTGGTCTCCTTCCTTTCATTCTAGTCTGGGAGTGTTTAAAGACCTCGGTCTTCACTTCCTACGCGGTATTTTGAATACAGCAAAAACGTAAGGTGCTTTTTGTTCATTCCTCTCTCTTCCTGGAATGCAAATGGAAAATGAGTGATACTTTTCTTTCTGTAAATAAGCTGCAGACAGGAGTGCTTTCTTCTTATGGGGTTGTCTTCTGCGCTCTTGGCTGGATGTATTCACCCTGGCGTGTGCAATATTCTCTCTTCAAGTTAAATTCTAATGGATCATGGGAAACCAAAGAGGCATGATATGGAAGAATGAGCGTTTTGTGAAAACTAGGAAAGTCATTCTATGAAATAACACAAAACCAGGGTCTCTTTCCTTTGTTTACCCGACTGCAAGTGTGTTTGCTTAGGAGCGATAAGAGTTAATTGTCAAACTTTACAATGTAGTGGGAGATTTTCTCATAAAATGTATAACAGACTCTGCCCAGATGGCAAATGCTGATATGTAAATCTAAAACATGAAAATTTCCATTGGGGGCCAGATGGTGGCTTAATGTGAATTGTTTAACATTTATGTGTATCTTATCAAAACTGCCTTTATATGTCCAAACTAAGCTGTTGGTATGGTGGGGAAGGCGTATCACTAAATGAACAGAGAAGCAAATGATGAGTGCAAGGTGCTTCTTGCTAATATGAATGATGGGAAAGCAAAGCTTGTCCTTCTCTGCTGAGGGATGCCCCATTCCTGGAGACGAGGCATTCAAAGATGAGTTGGGAGGGGACCCGGGCAGCCTCATGTAGTGGTTGGCAACCCTGCCCACAGAAGGAGCTTGAGGCGCAGTGATCTCTAAGATTCCTTCCATCCGAAGCCATTCTGGGATTATGTGGTTGTCTTTTGTTTACAAAACTGTGAAGAAAATGGGAGAAATAAGACTGCTGTTCATCTGCAGAGGGAAAATACAGAAATCGTGTTATTCTCCCAGAAGTTGTAATTACCATTGTCCAATATTTCTAATAAGTACCTTAATGTATTAACGTATTTCCTCTCAAAATGGCCACTGGGGTTCAGAGGGAAAGAGCTGAGCCCAGAGCAGGGGGAAGTGCTGCCCATAAAATCCCTCCTGCTGGCGGCTGTGTCCTTGTGCCGGGCAGGGCTGGCTGCTCCAGCCTCTCTCGCTCCTGCCAAGGCGACCACTTCCTCTGATGCAATCCAAGAAATTACACAAGGGAGAAAGGAACAAACGGATGCTTGTGGACTCAGTCACGAGGGCCCCTTGGAGCGCTTACAGTAAGCCGGCCTGGTGCTGGGGGAGGTGGGGACCGGACTGTGCAAAGCAATACTTGGCTGTTGCTGGCCAAGCTACCACCAGGCTCCCACTGCACGCCATGCATTGAGTGCAGATCCCTGCTGCTGCCTCCCTCCTAACCAGCCTTCTCCACCCAGCAGTTTGTGTTGAGTCACTTGAAAATTAGAGGGTGGGTGTTTCACAAGCAAAAACTGAAATGCTTTTTAGTGGCTTTGGAAACACTGGTCACTGTGTGGTGCTTTCATGGGGAAAGGTAAAAATGCTTCAGTGACAGACCTAAGAAAGAGTGCCTGCACTCACCTGTGGGTACATGCATTTGTGTGTGTCGGTGTCAACAAGGCTGCAAAGTAATTGGAAGTGGGAGGCTGAAAGAGTGAAATTGCAACATATTTCTGTAGACTGCAATTTCTTTTTTAGCCTTTGCTGTCCCTCATGCTGGGGCTGTGAGTCACCCCCCTGTGAGTCACTGGTTAATGGTGGTTCCATTAACTTTGACCTGGGGCTTTGGCCTAATGCCCAGCACTTCTTATTTTCTTGACAAGGGCAGTATCACTGAAATCATTGGCTGAAATCATAGATAAATGTTAAATGGCAGGTTATATTTAAATCAACATGCTGTTTGATGATTTTAAATATTAGCTTAATGAACAGGAGAACACTTCTTCCACGTAACCCATTCATGTGAAGAGTAATTACTTACTAGTATTTAAGACTATAATATTACACTATATAGAATTTTTCCAAGCTGAAAATAGCAGTAATCTTTCCCAGTTAGGTAGTGATTATTAAAAGCAAACAAGTCTTTTCGGCTTAAAGTGCCACGAGACAAATACATTTAGAAGTTAAAATAAAAAAAAAGCTCCTGACAGGTATCTTTGTCCAGAGCAGAGGCACAGCACTGCTTAACAAAGCCAGAGATAAGATGTGGGTCTTAATGTGGGCACTTGAGAAACAGTGACATTAAGTCAATGCTGTGCTATTCCTCAGGCAACAGCCCACACATCAGGCGTGTTCAGTTTGTTCCAGTTCCACAAGCAGAGCTGTGCTGCCAGAGCAGTGTACAGCTGCAGTGGTGCCTGCCATGCACAGCACCCAAAGCTCCATGTTTTAGTGGTGATATACAGCGTGGCACAGCCAGAAGGTTTGTGGCTGTACCTGAGGGTTTTGCCCAAGGCAGCATGTTTTTCTGCTTAAGGTAAATGTGTTCTGCCTTCTGCACCTCTTTTTGGATTGCTTTTGTATTTCGTGATTTAAACTGAAACCATGCAGCAGTTCTGCTATTTTTGTGCAATCGTCTGCTGCAATTCAGTGAGTGAAACAGCTCTGCTAATTCGCAGCCTCTTGCATTACACACACACATCTTTTGAGTAGCATTTGTAACAGTGCCTGGTAGATGAATAACTCAGAAGTGAGCCCTAAAATCCAGATCCTGCAGTTTTATCCAGAGCATATTGCAAATGCTCTGAGACTAGGAAACAGTTTAGAATCTGCTGCGGAAGGAGACAGTGAGCAGCTGGTAAACTACTGGCCCTTAATGAAGCTATACCGTACTGCAGCATCTCCAATTACTGCAGGACTTAATTAGTTCATTTTACCCTCCAATCTGGAGAGACCAAACATTGTCTTGGGCAACCACTGCAATTATTTCTGTTTCTTCGTTGCTGGCCATTAAAGCTGAGTTTGGTCTCTCTCAGCAAGGTATATTATATATGTCTTAGATGTCAGAATACCTGCATTGTGTTACGTGGGTGTTTCATGTAACTGACAGATTCTAGAAGAAAGTTTTTTTAGCAACCGGTTGAAGTACATCATGTAATGTGTATGTATGAGCGTGAATGGTATTGAACTGATAATGAAGAGATGATGGTCTGCTCTGATGTGGACTCCCACTAATGCCATCACGTTGTGTGGAAGCAGTCATTTTGAATGGCAGTGGTTTAGGTTACTTTGTTTCTGTGCTCGAAAATACTCTTAACAGAGAAGGGTATGTTTAATTTGATATGGTGGAAAATCTAATGTACCTTGGGTGTAACTGTTCACTGAATCAGTAAAGTCCTGTTCAAGTGAAATATGATGTTTATATACTTGTAGTTGCAGTAAGCTGTTGGACTCCTTTCTCAGCCAGTGTGATAGGATGCAAGAAAACAGCTGCAAGTTGTGCCGGAGGAGGTTTGGGTCACGCATTAGGAAGAATTTATTCATGGAGAGGGCAGTCAGGCACTGGAATGGGCTGCTGTCATGGCTTTGGCAGGAACAGAGTTAATTGATTGATTTCTATGTGGTGCATTTTTCTTACAGAAGAAAACAGTCCAAACTTCAGCACCGAGAAACATTGTTTTAACAGCATAAAAATATGTTAATCAGTTGGGCTCTGAGCAATTTTTCAAAGTTTGACACCTCTTGATACGTGGTTTATACTCAGCTCCAAACCAGTCACACTTACAATGTCAACTGAAATTAAGCTTTGAATTACAAATTTTTAGTGATAGTCTTAATAATTTTAAATAAAAAAAGTAAAAAGTACTCCTGTAATGTTGTGTTAGGTGGGGACTTGGAACCAGGTTATCCTCCAGCTTTGTAGCACTGTTCTGCTGATCTTAAGATTCATGCTTGATACTGGGAGGAGGGACCATAAACATTTAAAAACACATTTTGAGTATGGTTATTGTAGTGACCCAGACAACTCCTTGTGATGTTTTTAGCCAGTTTTTACAATTTAGTAAGATTATACTGAAAAAAAGAATTACATTAATAAGACTTCTTAATTTCTATCTTTCTCTTTTATATAGTCTTTTTTTTTTTTACTTTCTTATGTGATATAATTGACTCTATCACTTCATGTATTCTATGAGATAATGTAGGAAAGAATACTGTCTAGTTTGTGTGTTGCCTTACCAACTGCAACTGCTTAGTTTCCGTGACCTGGTGTGTGGGTTGCAGCAACCAAACCTTCAGTTCACACACTTCAGGAAGGTCATATGGAGACATGTTTCATTTAGATAATTTTGTAGGATTAAGAGAATGAATCTCACTTACATGAGTCTACCTGTTTAATGCAGGATTTAAAAGCCTTCTTATTGTTTTAAACCAGTTCTACTGGGGAGGATGCTTCAAAACAGCATTTCTATTACAGGACATGAACTTGATTGACATCCTTTGGAGGCAAGATATAGACCTTGGGGCAAGGCGTGAAGTTTTTGATTTTAGTCAACGACAGAAGGAGTATGAACTCGAGAAACAGAAGAAACTTGAAAAGGAAAGACAAGAGCAGCTCCAGAAAGAGCGGGAGAAAGCCTTGCTGGCTCAGCTGGTGTTAGACGAGGAGACAGGTGAATTTGTTCCAGCTCAGCCAGCTCAGCACATTCAGTCAGAAAACGCTGAACCACCGATCAATTTTTCACAGGTAAAATCTAATTGTGTTTGTGAGTGTGTTTAAATCTTTTTTCCATCCGCAGGAAGGTGTAATGCTAGAGGTTGCCTAAAAAGAATTTGCATTTGTTGCTGTAATGGAAGATTGTTCAGTTATTCAAAGATGCAGTAACATTTTTTTTCATGACTTTCCTATTTAGAGCACAGATACTTCAAAACCAGAAGAGGCCTTGTCCTTTGATGACTGCATGCAGCTCTTGGCAGAAGCGTTCCCATTCATAGACGACAATGAGGTAAACGCTCAGTGCAGCAGTTCCATGGGTGGTGTGCCAGGGGATCAGTTTCTTATTTTCTCATACCAGCATTTGTCTCCACTGTAATATTTATTTATGATATGAGTTGAGTGCTGTCCCCAAGCCATCTGTAACTAGAATAAAGCCATGTTGTAGGCTTGAACTTGGGCTGTATCAGGAGCAGGTGGCATGCCATAGTGCTCTTGTATTTCTTGTGCTTACTGAGTCCTGCAGGACATTTTACTGGCCTGACTGCCATCAGCCAGTGTTACTGCAAATAGCAGAGTTTTGCAATTTGTTGTGATGAGCTTATTTCAGCTCTCTGGAGTTGATGTATTTGGACTGCTTTACTTTGATGCACAGACCCAGACTGGTAAGTAAAAATAAGCCTTTCATCATTCAGTTCATGCTGCTTCCTATTTCTGTCCTTAATGTGATAACTCCTTTCATGGGAATACTTTAATATTATTTCATTATGTTCAGTAAATGCTTTTGGTAAGAAATGCCTATTTATGCTGCAGGAGAAGGTAAAAAAGCAAGAGGAGATTTTTTGCTTTGGAAGATTCTAAGTATATGTTTGTTTGTTCAACACTCCAGGCTTCTCCAGCTGCATTTCAATCACTGGTTCCTGATCAGATTGATAGTGACCCAGTCTTCATTTCTTCTAATCAAACTCAGCCACCCAACTCACCTGGTATAGTTCCACTTCCTGATGCAGAGAATATGCAGAACATAGAGCAAGTTTGGGAAGAGTTACTGTCCCTTCCAGAGTTACAGGTAAAAGTTTTGTATAATAATCATCTGGAAAAAAAAAAAAAAAAGCAGGATGCAGACTGTAGTATGACAAGTATGAGGTACAAGAGCATCTCAACCAATGGTGATTATGACTAACTTGTTGCATTTTACAATGTAGACATAGTATGTCTGTAACTCAATATGATCTTTACTTTTTAAAAAGTAATATATTGAAGAATGTATAATAGGAAGGAAATAGTTCTTTATCAGGGTGCCTTAATAAAACAACCTATCTTCCAAATCACTTCTTCATGTTTGAAAAATGATTGTTTGCATCTGTATGCAACCGGTTACAGCACAATCATGATGGAAATATGAGCTAATTAAAAATAGACGCTTCTGAATTATGGAGCTACAGCATAAATTCTTTCTGCAAGCATTATTGTAAATGTAAAAGTATTTAAGTATTTTGAGTGCAAAAGTAATCATTTATTTTGAAATAAATTTTACCTAAGAAAAGGGTTTATGTAAATAATAGAATGTACAGGTAGATACATATAACTACACTTGGCTCTTCTGTTTGTCTCTTGTTTAACTACTTAACTATATATTTGTTGGTAGAAACTAATTATATAATGTATGTGAACTGAGTATTTCAAGGGAACAAAGACAGCTAAAAATCACTGGTACATTACTAAGTTGTATATTATAGAGGGCATCTAGTTGGGATTTTTTAATCTTCTATTTCCTTTATCTAGTTTTGACTATTAAAAAAGGGGGAAAAAAAACTAACAACAGTGGGAACCTTATTTCCTGCCACTCTACTTTTTTCCTTATTATTTCTCTATATTTCAAAATTTTCCTAGTCTTTACTACTGTGGTATGCCTAAAAGTCCCCACATAGGTAACAAGGAGGACTAGCTTTGAAAAGGCAGCTGAAAAGATATTAAGAAACCAAGCCAAAATTATTAATTCTGTATATTAATTGAGTAATCTTCCGATTGAGATAATTAAATTGAGGCTATTGCTATCTGTGAATTATGTTTGAAAAGGGAATTCAAGAGCTCTCACACTCAAAGCCTTATCTTAAGCTTTGTATGCTCTCTAGTTAAATAGTGTGTGGTCCCTCCTTATGATAAACAGAAACACTGCAGTAGTTGCCTAATTCTTTTGGGAAAGCAGGGACACTTACTTCACCATCAGTTAAGAAACTGCCACTCTGGAAAGAAAGTTGGTTTTGTAGGCAATGAAAGCCCACCAATGTAATCATCTTATACACTCATACTAATGTTAGCCAGCTTTCCTAGAAGCGTATGGGATGAGTTAATGTTAATAAGGGTTCACAGTCTTTCTTTTTTACTTTCCAGAGAATTACATTTCTCTGCAATTCACTGCTCCATTCAGTGAATCCTGAAACGATCTCGTCTTTCAAGGAAAAGAAATCATCACATAAAATTGAAGATGGCTAAAAATAGTTTGCTATGAGTGCTTAGTAAGCCTCATTCAGTAGTCTTAAATTTACTGAAGTGAAGTCATTACTAGCAGTGATGTGTGTGAGAAGTTCAGACCTGACAGCTCCAGAATCCCACTTGTGATTTGGTAGGAGGGTCGTTTGCACGTATCAGTGTGTTGGGATGGATTTCTTCTTCAGCACCTTGTTATGAATTTGAGAGGCTCCACTGTCTTATTCCGAATAGCTTTGTTCAGGATAAGTTGCTTCATATTGTGCTTAGGTATCTGTTCTTCCTAGATTGTCTCCCCATAGTGCAATTATGTTGTAGTCATCTAGGTTACAGCAGTGTTACAATACCCCATGTACGTGTTAATGACTAAAATAATTAATAGTTGTGGATTCTATAAAAATATTTCATGATCAATTGGTCTTGTGTTGTTCAACTCCTCTCTTACACTTCCCATATAGTGTCTAAACATTGAAAGTGACAACCTGGCTGAAGTAAGCACAATCACGAGCCCTGAAACCAAGCCAGCGGAGATGCACAACAGCTATAATTACTACAACTCATTACCCATCATGAAAAAAGATGTTAACTGTGGTCCAGATTTCCTGGAGAATATCGAGGGCCCTCTCTCCAGCATTTTGCAGCCAGAAGACAGCAGCCAGCTGAATGTGAACTCTTTAAATAACACATTGACTTCAAGCTCTGATTTCTGTGAAGATTTCTATACCAGTTTTATTTGTGCAAAAGGTGACAGTGACACAGTAACAACAAACACTATCAGTCAGTCACTTGCAGATATTTTAAGTGAACCTATTGATCTTTCTGATTTCCCACTGTGGAGAGCTTTTAATGATGACCACTCAGGAACTGTACCAGAGTGTAATGATTCTGACTCCGGTATTTCACTGAATGCAAATTCTAATATAGCATCACCCGAACACTCTGTTGAATCATCTACCTGTGGAGATAAGACTTTTGGTTGTAGTGATTCTGAAATGGAAGACATGGACAGTTCTCCTGGAAGTATGCCACAGAGCAATGCTAGCATGTACTCATTGCAGTTCCCTGATCAAATACTTCCTTCCGTGGAGCCAGGCACTCAAACACCCAGCTTGCAATGTATGAACACACCAAAGAAAGATCCTCCTGCTGGCCCAGGCCACCCCAAAGCTCCATTCACAAAAGATAAACCTTCGGGTCGTCTTGAAGCTCATCTCACAAGAGATGAGCAAAGAGCAAAAGCTCTGCAGATCCCTTTTCCGGTAGAAAAAATCATCAATCTCCCTGTTGATGACTTCAATGAAATGATGTCTAAGGAGCAGTTCAGCGAAGCCCAGCTTGCACTTATTCGAGATATACGCAGGAGAGGCAAGAATAAAGTGGCTGCTCAAAACTGCCGTAAGAGAAAACTGGAAAATATAGTGGAACTGGAGCAAGATTTGAGTCACCTAAAAGATGAGAGAGAGAAATTGCTTAAAGAAAAAGGGGAGAATGACAAAAGCCTTCGTCAAATGAAAAAGCAATTAACCACCTTATATGTTGAGGTCTTCAGCATGCTACGTGACGAAGATGGAAAGTCTTATTCTCCTAGTGAATACTCACTGCAGCAAACTAGAGATGGCAATATCTTCCTTGTTCCTAAAAGTAGAAAGGCAGAGACTAAACTTTGAAGAGCAGCAGACTGGCTGGTGTTCCCCGAGTTACTATTTTTGTATCGTTATCCCAAAAGCTTTTACTGTGAGGTGGAATGCAGAATTAGGTAATATTTTTCAAGTAATTCTATGCAATGATGATTTGAAAATTAATATTTAAGTTTATGAAAGGTGCAAGTTCAAAACTAATTGTGTAATGCAGATGTATGTATGCAAAACTTGTAATCTCACTTTTATAACAGGCATTTCCTTCTTTTAGCACCATTTTAACTAGTTTCCATACATGTAAATATTTAAAGATACCATATTTATATACTGTTCTTATCTCCTGTTATATTCATAGATTTGATATATAAGAATAATTCTAGCCTCCTAAATATAATTTCTTGCAAGATAAACAGTATGGCTTCTTACTTTTTTTGTAAAAGAAAAAAAAATGCAGTAGCATTTGTTTCCAATTTTTATAAGTGCTTTATATTTAATGTACGATTTTAATTTAGTGTCAAGTTGATACTCATTGTTTGATTTTGATTCATCTTACCATTTCATTAAACTTTTTATTATTATTATTGTTATTATTTTTTATGTCATAGGCATTTATTTCCCTAAAGTAGACTAAGTGCTGATTCAGATATCCTCACTGGTTTTCCAAGGATAAGTCTTCATGCAACAAATACGCTTAACAAGCGGAGATGTATTGCACAGCACTGTCAGCATTATTGATGCTCACCATAGTTTTAACTACCGTTTGGAAGGATTGTGTAACGGATTTGTTTCAAGCCTATGCTAAGTTTATATAATTTGTTTTGCTCTCAGAACACTATTCAGAAGCTCATGATGAGATCTCCTCCAAAGGCATTAGAATCTGTTAATTAAAAAGTGTCAGCATTATGTATTTTTCCAACTAATAAATTCTGTATACCTTTCAGTAATTTTTCTAGAAATTCATTGTGCATCTCTGACTGGTCAGCAGGCATCATTTATCACTGCTGTTCTGTTTGAGGTTGTAGAAAAAGATATCCCATGGGCCGAGCAATGCACTCTTTGGAAGCTGTGCTCAGTTTGTTGAAAAACTGTTGTGATGTTTGAAGTTATGAGTTATAAGAGATGAAAAATTGGGCAAATAAATCACAGTGTTTCATTTACTCCTCCACTGGACTCATTGTATTTGATCATCGTGGATCTTTCTAAATACTGAAAAGGCATAATGTGAAATACACATTGAAATAAACGTTAAAAACTGTATCATCTTCCCTGTGGAACTTCTAAAAGGAGCGTTTGAAATGTTTTTTCTGCCACTGGGGCTGTTTTGTGATTATTTTAGGTATATTTTGTTACCATGCATACATTTGTTTAGTACATTAAGCATTGAACTGTTCTACAAGTCTTGCTAGACCTATTGAACGTTTCTCTAAAAAGAAGCTAATTTTTTAAGTTGAAGAGCTTTTGGCAATCAGCCTTGTTTCCCATGTGAATGTGTTGTGAAACTGCAAATGCAATGGGCAGGGCTCATGTTCCAAAAGAGGAAGGGTAGGGGGTTAGGACAGAAAACCATGGTTTCAATGAGTGTTTCTCTATCGGGGATGCTATGGAGCTTCTCCTTTTTTCCACTTGTTCTCTGCTGTTTTCACACAGCTCCAGTGGCTCTGTTTATTATTCCTGAATATTAATAACTAGTTTGGGACCAACTATGGTGTAGCTGTCAGTTTGGCTTTTCCCTGAATGCACTAAATTTCACAAGCGTTTTATTGTCCAGTGGGTCACAGCAATAATAGCAGTGTAATCCTTATCAGCTTTTGTTTTCGTTACTCCCCAGAATTTTGTATTTACACTTTGAGCTGGTCATTCACCCTCTGTTATCTCATTTACAGATTCTGCATAGCAGAGGCCTTTCTGCTACCTGGTGCCAACATGCACACGGTCTCTATTGCGCTTCAGCTGAAGTGTGACATTAGCTAACCAGAGAAGAGCCAGGAGTAGGAAAGCAGATCTGTTCCAACAGCTTTACCAAGAAGGTAGTTGTATTCCAGGGATGGATGATGCTAGGAACCCTGCTCCTATTGATTATAACCTATTGGAAAGAGAGTGCAGCCAAGTACCAGTGCCAGGAGACAATCTCCAGCTGACGGAGACTCCAGGTGCCTACCCTGGAGTAGAGAGCACAGAACTAGAGCACAGGTAATGGTTTCACACAACTTCTCATGCTGTGTTACTTAATCTCTGAAGTGTGGTCCTGCCCTACAGGTGTTTGTATCTGAGGCAGCAGATACAGTGAAGTCAGAAGAAGTCAGTAAGTACAATAAGGCCAATAAGTATGAGACAATTTCAATTTCAACTTATTTCTTACAATTTTTTCAAAAAGTCAGGACATTCACCTTAATGCTGTGAAAACTGTTGCTGCTTTTAGAACCACATTAAATGCATATCATCATATTAGCTAAATGAGTCTAAACTTTATTCTAGGAAACAAGGATTGCACTTGTGCTGGTAAAAATCTTAACCATCACAGCTGCACACAATAGGAAGAGTAGCCCCTCAAGCAAGAACAGTAGTTTCCACTCTTACAAACATTCTTCCCCTTTCTATAAATAATGCATTCTCAAAAGCAGCTCTGAGTAGTTCAGTATCTGATGCTGGAAAAATACTATCCTAACTTTCAATCTTATCTAACACAGCTGAAGAATAACAGATTATCCCCAAAGGCATGTTTTTTTTTCTGACAGAATACAAGCTATTAAGCCTTGAGTAACTTTACAAGAGAATCCTGCTGGCAAGGTGCTCTCATTTGCACTAATAGGCCTCAGAGTAAGACAACTCTAGAGAGGCCTGGCTGCACTCTGGTCTGGCCCAACCACAGATTTGTTGTGGCCATTTCCTGCAGAGATGATCTGATCCTGCAGCCAGGGTGTTTCAGGGATCCTGCAACAATTGCAAGCTCCAATAAGACAGGAGGGGAAAAAAAGGAAAAACAGTCTAAGCTCAACTGTTCACAAGAACTGCAAGAGTGTTGGAAACACTAGGAATACTGCCCTTCACATTGAGCAGGGATTTTGTTTCTGCAGATGGTATGTGTTGGTAAATAGAAATCCTGGTGACTTGACTTGCACTTACCTTGTTTACCAACCTTCATGTTAATAGCACGTGAGTCCATCCCCCTGCAGAGTCCTTGACATACTCTGACCACAAGAGGATATCACTTTGTTGAGCAAATTGTCAATACCAATGGCTCAAAACCTGAAAGCCAGGATTGACAGATTAAGCAGGTTTATTTGCTCTAGATAGAGCAGTCAGTCACCAGGTAAACTAAATCAAAGATATCACAGTATCATGGGGTATTTTTCTTGCTACTGCTGTTCAGTATGCCTGTATTGACTTTGAATGCAGTACTACCAAGGAAGGAAAACTTTCTTAGGAGTCATCAAAGCTGTCTGAAACACTAGAGGAATGTGAGACTTTGGTGCCATTTAAAGCAAGGTGATCTAAAGCATTACTGAGAATGGCAATTTTGAAGTATAAGCACTAGTAAAAAAAAAAAAAAAAACATACTAAGCTATGGCCCTGAACTGTCATTCAACAGTGATACACAGTAGCTCTAACACAGATACATCTGACAGTACAGCAGAGAACAGTAAGATGCTTGCCTCCCCCTTCCTTCCTCTTACCCCCCTTCCCCTTATCTAGGTTATCAAGGGCTTGATAAGAAAACATTCTAGATGAAACATTAGCATTTTAATCACAATTTCGGTATAAAACAGTCCGTGATAAACCCCTGCCCTCCGTTTTAATTTGGTACTTATTTAGCACTAATGCAGAAGTCTAAGACAAACATTCTTACAGCCTCTGCAGGACCTCTGTGATACAGGCTTACTTACTCTGTTACCAAGATGAAAAATATGATGAAGTGTGATAAAAAGAATACAGTTAACATAGAAACCTTGTTTGAATTCCACTGGCAAAAAGTCAGTCTGAAGTAACACAGACCACATGCATCAGTACAAAGCCAAACTTCCCTCATCACGAACAAAATGACATTTGTACTTACAACAACTAACAACATTAAGGCAGAACTATTCTGCATTAGATCATTAAAGTCTACATGAAAATATTAGGTTGCAAGTCTTTCATTTTATGATCACAACCAAGGTACAGCATGTGCTCCCAAACCTGGCAACGACCAGTCACACTGCCACACCATGTAACTTCTCATGCATCGCAATTCTGACCTCACATACTGACAAGCCTCCACATGGAGACATTTTGTTTCTTGATCAAATCATTCAAAAGCAAACTAAAGCTCAGGAGCTGAGTTGAATCAAAGTGAACTTCTGACTTGCTGACCCTGGTTTGAACAATGATCCCACCACTGCACTGCAGTAAATTAAGATCACTTTGTACTCCTCTCAGCACTAAATAAAAGTGATGGCAACACATGTAAGATTGTGAGTCATTTGACAACATACACTTTATTTTGATACAAAAATGAAATATTTTAACATTTCAATCCATTATGGACTATAGTGAAATTTTTCATTTCCATATTTTTTGAACTTGTTTAACCACAAGGTTCAGACATCACCATTCTAGCACCATTGCTCTTGAAGTCTTTGCCAGTTATTTTAAAATATTATTCTGTTTCCAATCTTGCGATATTGTCTTCTACAAGAAGGTCATTTTTCTTCTACGGAGATGCTTGGATTTTTAGATGAGGAAAAAGCTAATCTTAGACAGATGTCAACCTGTAGCACCCACAGCAGAAAAAGAATCCATCCATCAGATATCTGCATTTTAGTGATACTCAAGATCTTTCATGCTTCACACAACATACAAATATTTGTCAGAGATCACAGACTGGTATGTGAGTACTCCATTGTAATGCAGACAGTCTGTGAATAAAAGTTAATGTCTTAAATGCAGGAAGGAAAACCAGTAAGTCAGCACATCACACAAGCAATACTTAGAAGAGGAGGAGCATTCCCATTCCCATATTAAAATATTCAAAGGATATCAAAGTTAAGATGCCATGTTGTTTCGGTATTGTCTAATAACAAACAGTTAATCACATCTGCATCAGCCTGGGCTCATTCTGGGCAAATACATTTACTACCTGGAAGGACAAATAGCTTTCAAGTTAACATACAGTTTTAAGTATTTAATAAGTTTCTCAGAACTGCAATACTTTGCAACTTTATTTTCACATCCTTACATCTCCATTTACAGCTGCTAGAGAAAAATAGCCATGAAGTAATGTTCTTAACTCTTGGAAGTGTCTCTTGGGCAAAAATATACTTGATCAAATATGCCTTAAGGATTTGATCATCTTTGAGAAGTTTTATTTCTGAAAGAAAAACAAAACAAAAACCTAACCAATGGGGTATGCGTAATTGAAGCCAATCAATCTGAGTGCTATAAAACCAAATGCAGAAGTAACTTGAGTATCTTCTTGCACACACTTGGTGCAAAAAACCCTAAAGACCACAGTATGGAAGGGTAAGGCTTTACTAGGCTGTTGTACTGAGTAATGGAATGCAAGCTAGAAATTTTTGTTCAGTAAAACTTATTCATTTTTCCAAGATCTTTCCTTTTAAAAAATGGCCACCCTTCCCCTAATGGGCAAATACCTTTTGTACAAACAGAGCACATGAATGCTTTCCCCGATAACTTGTGGCATTGAGTGACCACATCAGCTCACAGGGGCAACACTGCATAGCAGAGAGAAAACTAAGGTGTTCTTCACCTCTAGATAAGACAGCAAGCAAGTCACCTACAAGCTACCTAGTATGCTATACTAAGGAGACTGTGATCTCACTATAGCAGGTTTAATTCTGGCCCTAAGTAAAAACATTTGTCAACATTTTATTTAAGTATATACTCACTATGAGATTTCAATTTACTAAATATCTCCTGATTATATGAAATTTGCACATTACCATTGTAAAAATACTTAAAAGTTAACCTCTGATTGTGTTTCAACATGAAGTTTGCTTTCTAGCTGTTCAGACAGCTGCTAGCAAGTTCAGCTACTGGAATCAGTCTACAATCTGGCCAAGTTCTGAACTGCACATATTCCAGTTGTCTTGTTCTGAGTAAGTTAAGCATAACACTAAAATAGAAACAGACTTTTCAAAAATACTCTAGGAAAGAGGTATTGAGAAGTTCAAATAGTTAACTACTATCCAAAGGACTTTTTAAATTATATATTCATACAGGTATGGGATACATTCCTGGGATACAGCAGAATTCCAAGAGTTAAGAACCCACATCCCCCTCCCCCCCCCAAAAAATCCATGAATTAATTTCATTGCTATTTATCCATATACAGTGGTGCTTTCAGCTGGGTATCACTTTAAATATCAGCCTTCACAAACCTACCCTGAAAGCACCAAAACATCTGAAAGGGAACTCTGTGTTTAAGTACAACCTTGCTTGGTAAGGCAAGGCATTTATTAGGAAGGAAAATTACTGATCAAATAAAAACAGAATGTCTTAATGTCAATTAGAGCTTCAGGATAGCACAGAACTACTTTGGACTGTGATGAACAGCTTACATATCCTAGCCCTTCCATGTCACACTGGGTTTCAAGAACATGTTCTCAAAAACAAACAAACAAACAAACAAACAACAGTGCACTCCTAATGGTAATTAGAGCACATATTTAAATCCATTTATCATTTCTGTTTTGTTGATCCCTGACATAGCATTATTGTACCTGCCAGGAATGCAAGATTCTTGAACAGCAATTATGTCAGCCAACACCCCTAATCCAGAACAAGAAACAGTGGAGGACATACTTTGGAACACTTGCTCCTTTATACTTAAAGCTTTCCCTGCTATCAAAAAGCTGGTCAGGGAAAGCCTAGAAGGAAATAAGCAATAAACACATTTTACTATGCACTACAATCTTACCCAGTCAGAAACCTTCAATGGAAGAGGATGTGCAAGACATTCCCCATTTTGTCAAGCAGCAGCTTCTCATTCAACCTGAAAATTAAAGAAATTACTCTTACCTTGTTTTCAAAACCTCCGACTACTCTTTTTAATTCATGAAAAATGTTAAAGGCAAACCTTACCTATGCTCATTGCCCTTCCTTTCAGGTCTAAATGCTAGACCTATTGATTTTGAGTCAACTCAAGTAGCTATCACTCAAGGAGGTTCCAAAAGGTGAAGAACTCTTGCTAGACTTTCTTCGATATTTCAGCTGTGACAAGCAGATTTAACTAGACTTTGGAAAGCTGCTCACTATCAGCACAGTATCTTATGCCTTCACTTTTCTGGAAGTTGAAGCTGTCGCTCCTGCTGCCTTGTCATTCTTTAATTATGCTGACTTCTCCATACTCAAAAGGCTGCTGAAGTCCTTCCTGTCTTATGGGTCTCCTTAACAAAGTATGGATCAAAGAAGTACATCCTAGGTTCTTTAAAACCGGTTAATCACTGTCCTCACAGCTTACACTTTTCCACATCACAAACAACAGCTAAGCTACCCCACCCACCTACAAAGCGGTCACTTACACACTCCATCTCTTAAAAGGTTGCATACAGATCTTGTTCATAAAGTTTATTATGACACTATTTTTCAAAGTTAACATTGTTGTCACAGTACAGCTACAAGAGGCCCTGTTAAAAAGAACACTGTCAATACATTCTAAAACTTTTAGAAATACCATATCCATTTTCAGAAGGGACATCAACCCCATTCTCCAGTTGTCCCTGCAGCCAGATGCAGGCCCCAGTTACAAATCTACACATCTTCTAGGTGTAGCAATGTACAAAGCAAGTCAGCAGTTGGGTGGCTCACTCCCTAGTGAGATGTTTTAGTTTTTAATGTGTTTTCAAACTCCAAGTGGGTTGTTTAAAAAAATGCCTTTATTGAAATACAACCTTCCCCCACCCACCCTCCCCACAAGCCCAAATTATGTACAACAACAGAATGTTCACTGCATCAGCAATTCTCGCTTTTAAGTTAGAGATAGTTTAAAACTCCACAGAAAAGAATAAGCAGACTTTGAAATCCAGTTTGGAGGCTAACATCTTGACAGTGGTTCCTTGTTTTAGTGTACTGCAGTCTAAATACACTCAATAACAGTGTTCAAATAACATTGTTTAATTTTTTTTTTCCAAGCAACACACTCATTTTTCTAATAACTTCTTAAAATTATATTAATATTAATATGACTGATTATGCCTTGAGCCATTTCATACATCTTTGCAGATTCATTCCTACACTGGAATTGCATTTACCTTATACTGCACATTGACCCAGAAGTGAAACAGGTGTAATTTCCAAAATCACATATTGTCAAGTGTCTGAACATTTCTTCTATTGACTGTATCCCTACTCTTCTGAGTCTCAATTGTCAGAAAGCACTGTCCTGGCAATAGTTGAGAGAGAAGTGACATCAGCTGAGAAAAGCAGAGATTGTAGTGCCTTAATTTGGAGTTCAGTAATGAGAATTGAGTACAATTTCTAGCCAGATGTGCTGATAAGATTTTGCTACTCCAGTGCATCAAATCAAACTGTATAAAACACTATCATTCTACCTCTGGAAATTTAAAACTGCACCATTCTATGCTGTGGGAAGCATTACTGGTCAGTAACATATAACTAGATTGTGTTTTGTTTCATCCTTAAGCTCTTACCTGAGCTTAGATATTCATAAGGGAAAAAGCTTGAAAACTATGCTACTTATAGCCCATCATGAATGGGCTTTTGGAACGCCATTACCTGGGACTGTCAGTGATTACACCTGTGCTACCCTTGGCTCCCAGTCAGATGAATGTGTCCAGAAAATTGCCTAGGGTGCATGCAAGAAAGTATATAGCCATTAAATTATTTAGGAACATACCTATTACTCTCACTACGATGCCTCATTTAATTGAAACAGCAGTCTGGTGTGAGGGAGAGGGGAGAGGGGAGAAAGGAAGGGGATGAAAATTCCAAGCCACCCTCCCCAAAGTATAGTTTTATTGAAACAGAATCATTGTATATCCCAAGGAAACAGGCACTTGATTCCCACCCCACCTTAACTTCTCGGGAATTACAATAAATAAAAAGGTAAAAAGCAAGTTTCTTTTTCTCTTCACCCAGAACTTCAGCAACTGCAGTTATCCCTTATACATCTCAAATGAGACTGGAGACAGCTTGAATGTGACTAAAGTTGGTCTTGTTAAAATATTTATCATGCCTTATTTTCTTGAAGCGCTACTACTAATACAGAACTACAAATTAAAAAAATATGCACAAACCAAAAAGTAATTTGAAATTTTCATTTGAAGGTAAAGCTTAGTTCTATAATTCACAAACACTAATTTGAGTAACTCAATCCTAGTTATACATCTAAACAAACTATAATGCAACATACAGATGTTCTCCCTCTGTATGCCTATGTAACTCTTATCAATGACAGTTACATATATACACTGAGACTAGACCCCTTAAGACTGCAAATCAATAGGTGTTTCTATTGTTAACTTTAAATTAATACAAAATAGTAATTGAAAAATGCATTAATCTTCTCTACTAACAAGGAAACACCCTAAACTACATTTTATTTCTGTTATAGAGTTCTCTGTACCAAATGTGGAAGAACTGAACTACACAAATATTGAAAAGTTAAAAATTCCTTAATTTGTTTATTCCTGGTACCACTACCACAATTTACAGGGCAATATACCTGATGTAATGGGAAAATAAAAAGAAAAAAGAAAGACAAAGCTACAACAGATAAAGACCTCAGGAATGTACATCTAATCGACACTACATTGCATTAATCAATAGCTGCACTTTTTGCAAACTGTGGCTATGACAGTCCTGAACAAGAAGGGTTTCCTGTTTAAGCTGCAGTAACTTTTCTGACTATGGATCATCGTTCCTTCTGTGGCAGATTTTACAGTTCCTCTAATGCATTTGGGACGACTGTCTCAAAGTAACCTGCAGCTTTCCTGACAACTCCTCGCTCTCTCTCCTGCTAAGAACTGTAGCCTGTTGAATACAGGATAAGAAAATTATTACTCTCAGTGAACAGTTGTACATTATTCATCATCATTATAAATATGCATTACACCTACCCTTTTTTCTGGTAGCATTTTTAGAATCTTCTACCACCATAGCCCCCACTTCCACTTCCAGATCCATAACCACCTGCACAAAAAACAAACCCCAGTACATATTGAAACATAAGAAATACCAAGCAACTTTAAACAAAGGGTTTTTTTTGTACGGAAATATATTTACCACCATAGGGACTGCCTGAACTTCTACCACCAAAGCTGCCACCGCCTTTCATGGGACCATAATTGGACTGCTGCTGTCCACTGTAGTTACCAAAATCATTGTAGTTTCCACTGCCACCATAATTACCTGAAACAAGTTCATGAAGTTTGTGAAACTGTGACATTCAGTGTAAATTGCAACAGCTATTTAAAACAATTTAAAATAGACTTGCAAGCATTGAGCATGTTACTTGTACTTGCAATGCACAAATGACAGCAAAACCTTTAGCATTCCAAAGATTAGAAGTTGTTCTATCACTAAAGAGGAAAAATAGCAGGCTATCTTATAAAGTTCAAACAGATTTCAGTAGCAATTTGAAATTAACACAGAAGGCCAAAGTTAATGCCTCCCAACTCAGAAAAACACTCTGGTTTCACCATCATTCTTCCACTGTTCAGTGCTCTGTACATGACAATCACATAAACTACAAGCCAAGAGTAATTTTTATTTGCTATAAAAAGTGATAAAACTGTAATAAGCCCATATATACACCAGAAGGTATTAATAAGTGTGCAATAGATTTTGCAGCTTAACTCCCTAAACTCACTAGATCCTTGCTCTTACTGCTTCTTCCCCCCAAAAATCTAGCAAAGAACCATGTATGTTTTAGTGTTTGTGGTATATCCTGACAAGAAACACATCCTTAAAGGCCTCTACAGAATTAATTATAGATTTAGAAGTTAACCGTGTCGTTTTGAAACTCCTGCAAAGATATTAACACTGACAACACAGAATAAGAACATAGCTGAACTGATTTAACAGGACACAGCTAGACTTATATTTAATGTCTTCTATGCCATTATGTACTCATCAAGGGTTCACACTTACTAATGCTGTAAAACAGCCGTGTAATAATGTGATTCCTGGTTATTTCAAAAGACAAAATAGGTAAAAGAACTGCTTTTATAAAAATAGTTGACGAATCTCATTTCACAACCAGACAATAAAGAAAGCTTCCATAAACTTAAGATATTTAGTCCTTACAGAGGAGGACAAGATCTACGTGGTACAAAATAATACCCAACAGCATATTTCAAATGAAAAAATCTGAAATAATCCTATTCTACCACCACACATTTACAGCAGCTGCTTTTTGAAAAATAAGTTCCAAGTAAATTAGTGCTGCATGATTTAATCCAAGTGAATCCAGAGGGAAGAGAATTTTAATTGTGTAACACAGCATTCTGCACTGTACTACTCAGACCTGAATGAAAAAAGGGTCAGCTAATTTGAGCTAGCATCTTACCACCTCCAAAATTTCCTCCTTCATTGTAGCCATCGTATCCTCCTCCTCCACCTCCATATCCACCACCTGGGTTTCCATATCCTGGTCCTCCACCACCACCATAAC